TTTTTTTTTTTTTTCCCTCCTGATGGCTTTCTAGAGTATTTTGTGTTCTGGTCCAGAGAAACCATTTGCCAGCCATGCTCACCAAATACAACAGAATTGGGTGGAGATCAGTCAGTGATGTGTTCACTCCATCCTGTCTTAAAGGCAAAAAAGATGCACCCATTACTGAGGATATGGGGGTGTTAAAGAGAGGCAGAAAGCAACATAATTAAAAGCCCTCTGTCTGTAAGCAGATAAAATGCTGTGGAAGTTGGCGAGAGTCACAGCTCTATGGGGAATTCCACTTCTTGAACAACTTACTGTTCCAGTGATTCACTTATGAATCTTACGGGCATTTGACGTGGATGTATTTGGGAACACGTAGAAGACAATGATATGGCTCTCTTCTCCCTTGGTCCCTACTTTCCAGGAGAGAAGCGGGTTTCTATAAGCATGCTGATAGCCCTGACCCTTTAAAGCAGACGCTTGATTGTGCTACTGAAGCTCGTGCAATGGCTAAGATAAAGTAAACTTCACCATTGCCTTCTGCATGTTGTAGAGCTAAACTTACAGTATGTTGAATATCTACTCTTGCTTACTGGAACAGCTCTTTTGGTCTTCTGCTTAGTTGTAAACTTTATTTCAGTCAATCTGTGCAATTGATTTTTAAGTCCTGTAACTCATTCACTACAAAGAGATTCTCTTGTGGAGAATTCAGTTTTTCCCATGCTTCTTCTCATCAAATATTAGAGCAGTGACAGAGTTGGGAACACTACTATCTTCTGCAAGCTGGTCCAGTGCAGATGTGGAGTTCAGCACAGTGCTGAACATGACTTTTCCTGTCGTAGAGCTCCCAAAGCAATAATGATGCAAAATTAGACAAAAATTCTCTTTCATACTTTTGAAAACTCTTCTCTAGCATTCCTGTGTTCTCCTACAAGAGTAGGATTGTGGCTTCTTCAGTGTCCCGTGAAGGCTGCTCCATGCATGGATTTTGTCCACCGTGTTGTTAGGTGTTGCCCTTCTCCTTCTAAATTTTCTTTATTATGCCAGTCTAAATAAGTGCCTCCTCTTTGGATCTCTTACCAGGTGATCTGTACTCTTTCTTAGATATTTTTAACATAATTATACGGAACTAGTTCTCTAATATCTTTTGTTCATAGTTCAAACTGAGCACTTCTGGTCAGTTGTTGTGTCCCAGGCTCATGGCAGCCTTTGCTGTGAAGAACTGCACGCACTTAAGTCTAGAATAATAAAAGTACATATTTTGAGAGGCTGGTAGTAGCCCAAGAGCCAGAGCCAAAT